GGAAGGGGCAGCGGGCTAGAAGGGAGAGCTGATGAATTGCCGAGGAGATGCAGGCAGGCAGCTCGGAGCTGAAGGCAGCGAGTGCCATCAGCACAAATTGCCGTTACCCTTCATAAACAGAGCATTTCGGGGATAATCCTGACAGCGTAATTCGGCGCGAGGGCGGAAGACAGCGTGTGCTGGACTGTCACCGACCCTTGCGAGCACTGATCCATTTTGTTTCCTTCTCCTGAGCCTTTGTAGCTTTTGGCTGGGACTACACAAGTTACTGGAGTTTACATATCTATTTTATTCTTAATTTTTACATCTCTTGGGTTTTGGTGGGGATGAGTGTGTGTTGAATTTTTTTTTTTAATTTGTTTGGGGTTTTTTTTCTTTTTTAAACGAAATTCCCGCTGGGTTTATTGAAATGTAAATACTTCATAAAATATGTATTTCTAAGGAGACAAAGCATGAGACAGGTCCCCGCAGCTTTCAGTGGGTGTAACCGAGCGGTGCCGCGCTCATTTTCGGCAGATGAGGATCTGACCCAGAGTTTTTCCTAAGCCCCTCCACCCACCCCAGCATGCATGGGAGGAAGTCCAGAAAGGTTGAGCGTCGGAAGTAATGAGAGCAGACGTGGCTTTGTTCCTGGATGAAAATTCACTTCGGAATTAGGGATGACTGCCTTTGAAATTGGAAATCGCTCGCAATTAATTTTCACCGGTACCTGAAGCCTCTCCTTGGCTTCCACTGTGGAAAGGCAGCGTTATTGCCAAAACGATCTCGCTTTGGCGCTGCTGAGGTCGGTAATTCCCGTTGGGGCGGGAGGAAGCTGCGTGCTTCTCTCCTGCAACTTTCTTTTCGAGCTTTGCGTGGCTTGAAGTTGTGGTTCCCCCGCCCGACGGTAAACACGTGTGCACACGCACGGTTTTGTGCGTTTCTTCTTTCTCTTTTTTTCTTCTTCATTTAATTTTTTTTTTAAAGGTTAGCCTGGAAAACGCTCTGTCTCAGCTCACAGTGTAACTAACAGATTTTCCTTCAAAGGGAAGAGACAAGAAGCAGCCGAAAGTCAGTGAGGTTCACTTCTTTTCTCCCTTATGTCTCTTTTAGTTCCTTCAACTGCAATCTAGCAGCGCCTGCCTCGACAGCTATCAGATAATTTCTTTATCTCCTAACGGCGGCCTAACTAATTTATAAAGGAGAACGCATCACCGTGAAGGCACGAGTCGTTTCTCTGCCTTCTCCACGGCTGTGCTCGCC